AGTGAAAATGGCTGTGTGGACACTTACTTCTGATTATACCAGGTTTATTTTGGCTTAGTATGAGTTGATTTAGGAACAGCTTTAACCTAACCAAAATGAGTGTCCACACAGGGTTTAACACTAAATGGATCTAAAAGCTAATTTAAGTTAAACTGATGCAACGCGTGGATGCAGACACAGCCTTTGGGTATCATTTTCTTGGAGGGGCAGGGGATTTTATTAGCATTTGGTTATTGATTGGTTCAATTTGGCAAAAACAGGACAGCTCTGGAAATCTGTGTGTCCTGCTGCTGATTTGAATGTTTCTAATTCTTACAAACCACCCTGCATTCCTAGGATCCTCGTTTGGTTTAAGGGTGAGGCAAAGTAGCTGTTGATGCATTGTCGGTGAGCTTGCACAGAACCAGGCAAGGTTTGTTTCTGCTCTGTTATGGTAGGGATGCATTTGGCCTGTTCTGTCCTGGCGCACCGAGAATGGCTGCTGTCTCTTTTTGTCCTGCCAGCTGCACTTGATGCTCCATAAACATTCAGCTCCCTTCTCTTCACCCTCCAACCACAGAACGTGGGCTCCAGGGTTTGGGCTCCGAGCCGGCTCCCCAGACAGGGCTCTGCTCCGGGGTTTGGGCGCAGAGCCGGCTCCCCAGATAGGGCTCTGCTCAGCTTCAATTAAGCTGTGCGCCTGTGGGCAGAATCTGTCACGCTGAAGCTGCTTTCTGCTGCTTTGATTTCAGCATTCAAGGTACAGGCCTGTGCTGTAGACCAGGAAGGAGGAAGGCTCTGAAACACACACACAATGAAAGACATTCATTGTCTTTTTGCTTTGTTTTTCCTGTGGTCTGTGTTTGCTACAGGGAAGCCCCAGACATCGGGGATCAAAGTCTAGAGTCCCCTGCTATCATAATTTGAAAGCTTGAGGGGTTGTTTTCTGTATATTCAAGGGCAAAGTTGACTGATGCATCCATAGCCTCATGCGATTGCAATGAAACACAGATGTTCACCTGCCAGCAAATACACTGTGATAGTGTGGGCAACTGGCCAAATGGACTTTGAACAGAAATAGCAGGGTGCGGGGCAGGGGTGGTGGGGTGCATCCTAATTGTATCCAGTGTCAGTGGGAGATTCACTGTAAACAGCCCCTGGCATTACAGACCTGGCCTACAGACCACAGCTACAGCAATGTCATTCTTCTCTTTCCATGGAGTGAGTCAGGCACCCCAGGACTCTGCCAAGCAAAATGGTATTTACACTGGTATCAGACTGCAGACCAAAAATCGATCTAGCCAAGCACAACACAGCCAGGGGAGGGGCAGCAGCCTTAATTGGCTCCTCATCAATTGCCCTGCACTTGAAGCTGTTTTTGAGAGGTGTCAAGTATCAGGGGGTAGCTGTGTTAGTCTGTATCCACAAAAACAACAAGGAGTCCGTTGGCACCTTAAAGACTAACAGATTTATTTGTTTTTTTACCCACGAAAGCTTATGCCCAAATAAATCTGTTAGTCTTTAAGGTGCCACTGGACTCCTTGTTTTTATTTTTGAGAGCACTCCGATGGCTGTTGGCAGGATGCACATCGGCAGGATGAATCCAGGGCTGCAGCACCTATCAGCTGTTAGCCTGTGGCTGCAGTCTGTCTGTGAGAGCATGCTCTGCCAGGCACACTTGTGCTTTGTGAGCGTCCCTGACCCTCCAGGGAAGCTAGTTTCCCCACACACACACCCCCACACCCACCCCATAAAGGGCCCCTTCTCAGGGCAGGATTTATAATGAAGACTGATTGATTGCTGTGGAGAGCAGTGGAGGTTATTGAAGATGGAATAAGCTGGGTCCCTGGAGGAGGACTGGGACAATAGATTTAGTAAGTCTTAATACTGCAAAGCTAAATTAATTTCTGGAGTGGTTTAAACAAAAGTGTGTGGATCTCAAGCAAATCTACATCAGGGGAGAGAAGGATCTTCCAGGAGCTGCCTGGTTCAGAAGGGCAGGGGATGGATGAGGTACATGTTGGTGGCTTGGAAGGCTGGTCTGTTGGGAGGGATTGGCTCTTGCTTTAAATACATTTATATAGTAATGTATAAATTCCCACAGTGCCAAGAGCGAGCCTTGGAGAAGGGAGCCCTCTGTTTATCCCCAGAAGAGGCACAGCATAGGTGCTGGCCATAGGAACATCCCGCTCTGAGCCCTACCCCTAGCTTAGAAGTGGTGCCTCCAGAGGCCAGAGTTATTTTCCAGGCCCATTCCGGCTCTGGCCCCTATGCTGAGCCTGGTGGGAAGGGAGGACAGTTTGGTGGTTTTCTGTGGTGTGAAGAGAAATGCCTCCCTTTTTAATGAAACGCCACGGAGCCAGGGCCAGCTCAGTCTGTACCTTGCGTGAGCTGTGAATTACCTTCATGCCATAACAAAGATAACTCCTGCGGTTTTAAACATGCCACCCCCACCCACCTCACTAATCCCGATGAGGCACGCACAGAGGGCCCTGGAGTGGAGTGTAGACCTGATGAGACACCAATGCTATGTCTCCATGGTGCCACAGTGCAGACTACAGGGGTGTGAATTGCAGAGAGCACCAAAAGGTTATGCTTTAATTGTCTGTGTGGATGCTGCTAGCACGGACTAAAAGGTGCTTAGTTTGGGTTAGCACCATGTTCTTCAGACAGGACTACATTAATGCGAACTAGGTACCTTTTAGTTCATGCTGGCAGTATCGACATACCGCAGTTACACCGCAACATTTTAGTGTGCTCTAAATTCACACCCCTGTAGGCTGCCCTGCGGTGGAGTGTAGACAAGCTCTGACTGATTCGTGTCCTCTAGAACAGCAGTTCTCAAACTGAGGTCTGCGGATCCAGGGGGTCCGCGAGTCATGTGCGGGGCCGCTGCTCAGCCGCGCACAGGAAGTGCTGGGAGGGAGTGGGAGGAGCGGGGTCGGGGGTGAGCTCGGGGGAGAGGGTGGAAAGAGGCGGGGGGGTGGAGTGGCAGTGGGAAGAGGCGGGGTGCGGTGGGGCCTTGGGGACAGGGCTGCCAACGGTCTAATCACACAAACCCAAACACCCTTGCCCTGCCCCCACCCTTTCTCCAAGGCCCCGCTCATTCCATCCCTCCTCCCTCCATCACTCACTCTCTCCCACTCTCACTCGCTTTCACTGGGCTGGGGCAGGGGGTTGGGGTGCGGGAGGGGGTGAGGGCTCTGGCCAGGTGGCACTTACCTCGGCGTAGCAGGGCTAAGGCAGGCTCCCTGCTGGCCCTGACCCCGCGCTACTCCCGGAAGCAACTGGCACATCCCTGCGGCTCCTGTGGGGTAGGCAGGTGGCTCTGTGCTCTGCTCCTGCCTGCAGGCACCACCCCCGCAGCTCCCATTGGCCTCAGTTCCTGGCCAATGGGAGCTGTGGAGTCAATGCCAAGGGTGGGGGCAGCACGCGGAGACCCTCTACCACCCCCAGGGGCCGCAGGGACATGCCGGCTGCTTCTGGGAGCAGCGTGGGGCCGGGGCCAGGGCAGGCAGGGAGCCTGACTCAGCTCCACTGCGCCACCAGACTTTTAGCCCTAAAATCTCCCGGTTTGGTTTCAGTAGCTTCCAGGAGATACAGCCTGGTTCTGGGAGACTCCCGGTGAAACCAGGAGGGTTGGCAACCCTACATTGGAGAAAGGGGTGGAGTAGGGGTGGGGCCTGGGGCTGAGTGGGGGTTGAGCACTCCTGGGGAAAATTAGAAGCCGGCTTGTGGGTCTGCGAAAAAATTTAAATCAAAATGGTGAGGGTCCTCAGGTTGTTAAAGTTTGAGAACTGCTGCTCTAGAAAATCAGCTCACCTTTTCAACTCTTATTCCAGTTCTGCCCCTTTCCACAGGATAATGCCAGCTGTGAGGCAGTCAGCCTGTATGGTCCCTGTAGGAATAGATGCAATTGGATGGAAAGAAACACAAGAAACCAACTCCTCAACAAAATAAGAAGGGGAAGGGCTACAAAACAACAAGGATCACCTAATTTATGGGGAACAAAGAATGCAAAAACAGGACCTGAAGTGCAGGTCCTGGAACAAAATGAAGGAACCAGAAGGGAACATTAAGCAGAAAACCTTGACAACTCCCATTGTTCCATGAGAGACTGTGGGCAGCCAAAAGAAAAGGAATACTTGTGGCACCTTAGAGACTAACCAATTTATTTGAGCATAAGCTTTCATGAGCTACAGCTCACTTCATCACTGTAGCTCACGAAAGCTTATGCTCAAATAAATTGGTTAGTCTCTAAGGTGCCAAAAGTACTCCTTTTCTTTTTGCGAAGACAGACTAACACGGCTGTTACTCTGAAACCTGTGGGCAGCCAGACACTCGGGAAGCTCTGTGAAGGTTACCCAGAATGGCCAGTAAGTTAGCAAGGCAGCCCTGCTTCCAATACCTAGAATGCTAGCTCCATCTAGTGTGTACTTCGAACACCAGCCAATTGTCCTGTGAATCCATGCACCCAATTTCCTGCTCACTATGCTGTTTGTCACTCAGTTTACATCACTGGAGTTATTCCTGACTTATACACCCCAGTGTAAGCAGAAGAGAAACAGGTTCTAGGTCTTCTCCCCTAGATCTCAGTTCTGTCAGCTAGGCTCTATTTTTCTGCTGGTAGTATTCATTATCATTCTATACCCTGTGTCTTTGGAGGGGAAAACATGGTGTTCTATGCCCTGGTCTACACTAGGACTTTAGGTCGAATTTAGCAGCGTTAAATTGATTTAAACCTGCACCCGTCCACACAATGAAGCCCTTTATTTCGACTTAAAGGGCTCTTAAAATCGATTTCCTTACTCCACCCCTGACAAGTGGATTAGCGCTTAAATCGACGTTGCCGGCTCGAATTTGGGGTACTGTGGACACAATTCGATGGTATTGGCCTCCGGGAGCTATCCCAGAGTGCTCCATTCTGACCGCTCTGGACAGCGCTCTCAACTCAGATGCACTGGCCAGGTAGACAGGAAAAGAACCGCGAACTTTTGAATCTCATTTCCTGTTTGGCCAGCAGCGTGGCAAGCTGCAGGTGACCATGCAGAGCTCATCAGCACAGGTGACCATGATGGAGTCCCAGAATCGCAAAAGAGCTCCAGCATGGACCGAACGGGAGGTACGGGATCTGATCGCTGTTTGGGGAGAGGAATCCGTGCTATCAGAACTCCGTTCCAGTTTTCGAAATGCCAAAACCTTTCTGAAAATCTCCCAGGGCATGAAGGACAGAGGCCATAACAGGGACCCGAAGCAGTGCCGTGTGAAACTGAAGGAGCTGAGGCAAGCCTACCAGAAAACCAGAGAGGCGAACAGCCGCTCTGGGTCAGAGCCCCAAACATGCCGCTTCTATGATGAGCTGCATGCCATTTTAGGGGGTTCAGCCACCACTACCCCAGCCGTGTTGTTTGACTCCTTCAATGGAGATGGAGGCAATACGGAAGTAGGTTTTGGTGACGAAGAAGATGATGATGAGGAGGTTGTAGATAGCTCACAGCAAGCAAGCGGAGAAACTGGTTTTCCCGACAGCCAGGAACTGTTTCTCACCCTAGACCTGGAGCCAGTACCCCCCGAACCCACCCAAGGCTGCCTCCTGGACTCAGCAGGCGGAGAAGGGACCTCTGGTGAGTGTACCTTTTAAAATGCTATACATGGTTTAAAAGCAAGCATGTGAAAGGATTACTTTGCCCTGGCATTTGCGGTTCTGCCTTTGCAAAAGGTTTCTGGGGAGGGCAGCCTTATTTTGTCCTTCATGGTAGGACACTTTACCACTCCAGGCCAGTAACACGTACTCGGGAATCACTGTAGAACAAAGCATTGCAGTGTATGTTTGCTGGCATTCAACCAAAATCCGTTCACGCGGTGGGAGGAGGCAAAATGTGACCTTGTAAAGAAAGCACATGTGCTATGTATGTAATGTTAACAGCAAGGTTTACCCTGAAAGAGTGTAGCGACTGTTTTATAAAATGTGTCTTTTTAAATACCGCTGTCCCTTTTTTTTTCTCCACCAGCTGCATGTGTTTCAATGATCACAGGATCTTCTCCTTCCCAGAGGCTAGTGAAGCTTAGAAAGAAAAAAAAAACGCACTCGCGATGAAATGTTCTCCGAGCTCATGCTGTCCTCCCACACTGACAGAGCACAGACGAATGCGTGGAGGCAAATAATGTCAGAGTGCAGGAAAGCACAAAATGACCGGGAGGAGAGGTGGAGGGCTGAAGAGAGTAAGTGGCGGGCTGAAGACAGGGCTGAAGCTCAAATGTGGCGGCAGCGTGATGAGAGGAGGCAGGATTCAATGCTGAGGCTGCTGGAGGACCAAACCAGTATGGTTGAGCTGCAGCAAAGGCAGCTGGAGCACAGACTGCCACTGCAGCCCCTCTGTAACCAACCGCCCTCCTCCCCAAGTTCCATAGCCTCCTCACCCAGACGCCCAAGAACGCGGTGGGGGGGCCTCCGGCCAACCAGCCACTCCACCACAGAGGATTGCCCAAAAAAAAGAAGGCTGTCATTCAATAAATTTTAAAGTTGTAAACTTTTAAAGTGCTGTGCTTAAAGTGCTATGTGGCATTTTCCTTCCCTCCTCCACCACCCCTCCTGGGCTACCTTGGTAGTCATCCCCCTATTTGTGTGATGAATGAATAACGAATGCATGAATGTGAAGCAACAATGACTTTATTGGCTCTGCAAGCGGTGATCGAAGGGAGGAGGGGAGGGTGGTTAGCTTACAGGGAAGTAGAGTGAACCAAGGGGCGGGGGGGTTCATCAAGGAGAAACAAACAGAACTTTCACACCGTAGCCTGGCCAGTCATGAAACTGGTTTTCAAAGCTTCTCTGATGCGTACCGCGCCCTCCTGTGCTCTTCTAACCGCCCTGGTGTCTGGCTGCGCGTAACCAGCAGCCAGGCGATTTGCCTCAACCTCCCACCCCGCCATAAACGTCTCCCCCTTACTCTCACAGATATTGTGGAGCACACAGCAAGCAGTAATAACAGTGGGAATATTGGTTTCGCTGAGGTCTAAGCGAGTCAGTAAACTGCGCCAGCGCGCCTTTAAACGTCCAAATGCACATTCTACCACCATTCTGCACTTGCTCAGCCTGTAGTTGAACAGCTCCTGACCACTGTCCAGGCTGCCTGTGTATGGCTTCATGAGCCATGGCATTAAGGGGTAGGCTGGGTCCCCAAGGATACATATAGGCATTTCAACATCCCCAACAGTTATTTTCTGGTCTGGGAATAAAGTCCCTTCCTGCAGCTTTTGAAACAGACCAGAGTTCCTGAAGATGCGAGCATCATGCACCTTTCCCGGCCATCCCACGTTGATGTTGGTGAAACGTCCCTTGTGATCCACCAGAGCTTGCAGCACTATCGAAAAGTACCCCTTGCGGTTTATGTACTCGGCGGCTTGGTGCTCCGGTGCCAAGATAGGGATATGGGTTCCGTCTATAGCCCCACCACAGTTAGGGAATCCCATTGCAGCAAAGCCATCCACTATGACCTGAACATTTCCCAGGGTCACTACCCTTGATATCAGCAGATCTTCGATTGCGTGGGCTACTTGCATCACAGCAGCCCCCACAGTAGATTTGCCCACTCCAAATTGATTCCCAACTGACCGGTAGCTGTCTGGCGTTGCAAGCTTCCACAGGGCTATCGCCACTCGCTTCTCAACTGTGAGGGCTGCTCTCATCTTGGTATTCATGCGCTTCAGGGCAGGGGAAAGCAAGTCACAAAGTTCCATGAAAGTGCCCTTACGTATGCGAAAGTTTCGTAGCCACTGGGAATCATCCCAGACCTGCAACACTATGCGGTCCCACCAGTCTGTGCTTGTTTCCCGAGCCCAGAATCGGCGTTCCACAGCATGAACCTGCCCCATTAGCACCATGATGCATGCATTGTCAGGGCCCATGCTTTCAGAGAAATCTGTGTCCATGTCCTGATCACTCACGGGACCGCGCTGACGTCGCCTCCTCGCCCGGTATCACGTTGCCATGTTCTGGTGCTGCATATACTGCTGAATAATGCGTGTGGTGGTTAATGTGCTCCTAATTGCCAAAGTGAGCTGAGCGGGCTCCATGCTTGTCGTGGTATGGCGTCCGCACAGAAAAAAGGCGCGGAACGATTGTCTGCCCTTGCTTTCACGGGGGGAGGGAGGGAACGGGGGGCTGACGATATGTACCCAGAACCACCCGAGACAATGTTTTAGCCCCATCAGGCATTGGGATCTCAACCCAGAATTCCAATGGGCAGCGGAGACTGCGGGAACTGTGGGATAGCTACCCACAGTGCAACGCTCCGGAAGTCGACGCTTGCCTCGGTACTGTGGAAGCGCTCCGCCGAGTTAATGCACTTAATGCACTTAGAGCATTTTCTGTGGGGACACACACACTCGAATTTATAAAACCGATTTCTAAAAAACCGACTTCTATAAATTCGACCTTATTCCGTAGTGTAGACATACCCTATGTATGAAGCTGCTTCTAAGGACGAACCTGAAATATCTGAGAAGACCCATAACACTTCCTATTGCAGTCATTGCCTCTCCCATTTTCCTGTGGATGAAAAGTTTAGAGTGGAATTTTGCTACTGATGTGTCTGCCTAAAGCTCCAGTGCAGCAGAAGTCCTGCTATGCTGTGGCTGCTTCCGTGCTGGGGAAGGAACACGGTCATGTTTGCAGGCTTTGAAGAGCTGGCTGCCATTTCTCAGCTTGTCCAAACCAGGAGGCCTAATGCAGGCCACTCATCTGACAGGTGCTTTACCCTACTGTACTAAGGAGGGCAATTTTATTGCTTACTCTGGGAGTAGTAGGGTTGTTGCCATCTCTCATGATCTTATTGAGTCTCAAAATGGTTTCCTAAAGCCCCAGCTCCTGGAGCCAGGTGACTATGTGAGAATCTCAGCTTTCATTAAAAATAAAATAAAATAGAAGGAAGCTTCTATCCCTTGGTTTGTAGAGAGAAGTTTGGAAATGGAACCCAAGGGCACCCCAAAGACTCAGAAGATAAAGAGAACCCAGAATGTATTATTTTTTAAAAGCTCATGACTTTTGGGAGTCTGGCTAATTCCTGAATGCTTGGAAATATCGACTTTGCTTTGCCCACTCTTGAACTGGGGAAAAAGCAGAGCTGGCAAACTGTTCTCATGTTGTCAAGCACAGTTCAGCATTGGCTGGCTGGTGTTAGAATAGACTAATGGGCAATTTCCAAAGGTGTAACAGTGCCTAACTGCTCAGGTCCCAACTCCCATTGACCCTCAGAAGGAGTTGGGTGCCTAAATTCCCTTTGTGCCTTTGAAAATCTCCCCCAGGTGTCCTAAATGGGGTTCTCCATCTCTAGCTGCAGCTCTTGAGAGACTCCTTCACCAGCAGACCCTTGGGGTCACATGGAGTGAAGCTGCACTTGAATACACCAGCTCTGGAGTTAATGGAGTGCTGCTCCTTCCCTCGCAGCTCTGAAACCCCTCCTTTTCCATAAAATAAACCCGGGTCTCGCTAGAACTTCTTTACACTCCCTGCTTCAACTGCCTTCCCTTGTAATTTATGGCCTGCTCTAGGTCCCACTGAGGTTAATAGCAAAACTCCCATTGACTTCACTAGAAGGCAGTCCAGGCCTACATCCCCTATGTTTATTCTGTGAAGCAGTTGACTCTTGTTTTTGTCCTCCCTTAGGTAGGGCCTTGGTTTGCTGATGTCCTTGCCAGCGTACACAATATCCCCTTCTCCACTTCATTAACTCCTTTCATGACTTGCAAACATCTGTGAGGGTACCTCAGAGTTAGGGGCACAGGCAGGGACTGGGTTTTATGTGTGTTTCAGGGCTCAGTTTAACACCTCAAGGAGATATTGATAAGATGTGGTCAAGCCGTAGGGCTTCGGATGGTTAAAATAATATAAGAAAATCACATTGCTTTGTACTTTGGCCCCATCAATGACTCCTTGAGGCATTAAAAGCACCCAGGATAAAACTAAACCCAAGCAAACGATGAGAATTGGGTTTACATCATATTCCCCAAGTATTCTTGAATCTGGGCTCCTGCTGGAAACGAATGCTCACTTGCATGGTCTCCATGTTTCCTGTGGGATTCAGCTGACATTCTCATATCGTTTCCTCCTGACTTAGGTCCTACTTCAGCTAGGCAATTAAGTGCATACTTAAAGTTTAACACTGGCATTGGAGTCAAGGGTTTCAGCATATGTTTAAAGATAAGCGCCTGGTTACGTGCTTTGCTGAACCAGGGCCTTAGATTCTTCAGACCTTTTTCTCATCTTTATGTTGCCCCCTTCCCAAACAGCTGTCACCTGCTTGTTGTTTGGTAACTGATATAGCAGCAGATATTTCCGACCCAGGTCTAATAAGTGTTTTGTATACAGAGGAGGATTATCCAATGGTTCGAGCGTTAGCTGAGCATTGGGGTGACCTGGGTTCACATCCATTTTCTGCCACAGACTTCCTGTGTGACCTTAAGCAAATCACTTACCCTCTCTGTGCTTCGATTACCCCCTTAAACTGTGAATAATAGTACTTCCCTGCCTTGTGGAGTGTTGTGAAGATAAATACATTGCTCAGATACAAAGGCAATGGAGACTATATAAGCACCTGAGATATTTGTGTACAGTAAGAACGTGGCTTGTCTTGTTTCAGATATTTCCTTTGTGTGAGTGAGATTCTGTCCTCCTCGAGTGGCTGCGGCCTGTACTTTCACCAGCACTGCTACTGAAAGTGTCAATGTTTCATGTATAATAGTCTAGCTGGAAAAACTAAACCCTGGCCCCAGTAATTCAGCTGAGGGGGATGGCTGCTTCTGAATACTTCCTGTGACTGTGCTACCCAGAGACGCACATGGTAAGAAACGTGTGAGGGGTATATATTTGTACGTTATGCATTAGGTTCAGCTTCGGAACACATTACACATATCTCTGCATTCTCTTAATAAAGCAGCATAAACCTAACACTACACAGCCCGTGAGCCAGAGGTGTCAAGAAAATATTGGTCTAAAGCATCACTAAAATGTTGATTGATTGCTTTCTGTTAATCTGACACATTTTTAAAGCTAGGGCTGTTTGGTTAAGATCACTGTACTGGTGGTGTTGAAACAGCAGTTCCAAGATGTGACCAGTAATGGAGGGGGTGGCAATGGGACAACTGAAAAAGGCATCTCTGCTGAAACACATTCAAAAAGTCCCTCAAAAAAGCGGTTGGAGTATGTAGCATCTATGCATGTGCACATCAGACGATCAGCATGGAACCAGTGCAAGAAAAAGCATCGGATCGTCCTCTCATAATGACCATAATGACCCTTGCTTTTGTAACTTCTGGGTATTTATTTTATCTAGCAATGAAGCCACAAGTCCTTAAAAAAATCCTGCTGGTACAAAATGCAATCGTTTGTTTGCTTTCTCCATGTATTTTAAGTCTGAGTGAACTTGATGCTTATGAAAGTGAGTCCTGGTAGCTAGGGCCAGAAATAGAATGGGCAGGTTCTATGTAAGCCTCTCTCCTAGCAGTCTACCACTGTGCTCCGTCTTGATCTG